AAAAAAAAAAAAAAAAACTAAAACAGTGTTGAATTCATAAACAATTTGAAAAAGCATATAAAATAAAGATTTTATAAAGTTAACAGTTCAAATCAGTAGGGCTGGGATGGACCACGAAAACAAAAATGCATTTAAAGAAAATTTAGGTAAATATACATATTACTTGAGGTGGAGAAGCACTCTCTAAGCATGGGGAAAAAAGACAGACTAGAACTAATCCTCAGCGTAGAACGAACAGGTAGCAGCTGCCATTGACAGCACGTGTCAGTTCCCATCTCTGGCATCGGTATCTTACAACCATTGTTTGCACAATGTGTTAACAGTTCCACAAGGTTTGACACTGCTGCAACCATTTTATGGACGAGAAACCTCTAGTACTGAGAGGTTAAACAATGCACCAAAGTCACGCAGCCAGTAATAAGTGGAGACAGAATGTGAAATCTGGTCTCTCTGACTGCCAAGCAAGGAGCCTCATTACTAAATGATAGTGTTTCTCGGTCGTGATAGATTTGACTACAGAAAAGTTAAAGTCCTATATTCAAAAAATACCACACACAAGTGAAAGCAAGATAAATTGGGGAAATGATTTGTGACATATCTAAGAGACAAAGCATTAATGGTCTTCATTATTGTTATGGTTTCAGTATGTCGCCAGAATTTATGTGTGGAAGATTTGGTCCCCAGGGGAAGGTGGGGCTTTCGAGAGGCAATCAGGTCAAGAGGGTTATGGCACTCCGACTGACTGGGTTAATTCTGCAGGCATGAGTCAGTTCTTGCTCTTCTGGGCCTGGATTCATTACAGTGAAAGTGGTTGTTAAAAAATTACCACTCCAGCCTGGGCAACAGATAGAGACTCTGCCTCAGGAAAAAAAAAAAAAAATTATCCAATCCCAGGTATTGCAGTATTCTTTAATAGCAATGGAAAACAGACTAAGACAATTATGTAAAGAGCTTTTTCAAATAAATAAGGAAAAAATAGAAATATATTTAAAGGTCATAATTAGACAAAAACTAAAAATTTATGTGTAACCTCTTTTAGCAAAAAAAATAAAAAATAAAAATAAAAGAAAGCTTCCATTCCGGCGATCACTTTAGAAAACATTAAGCATTGGTAGCACCGCGTGTGTTTGAAACACGTGGAGATAAAGCCTTCCCGTGCACCAGATATGAAGGTCTTCAAACTGCGTACATGGTGCTGGTCGTTTGACTAATAGAAAACAATCAAACAGCATCCACATATGTCAGGACACATAGTGATTTCTCCCTGCATTGTCTGTCACAGGCAAAACTCCTATACTTGGGGTTTTAATACACAAATTTGTGAAATCAATAGACGAAATACAAAGGCATAGATGGCTAACTCTCCCCCAAAAGGGTGGGGTGCACATAACAACATTCATGATCTTTCTTCCCTGGGGAATGAGAAAGGTGAAGCTGGGAAACCATGAGCCCTGAAAATGATGGGGAAATCCCAGAAAACAAAGACCCAGAGAGGGAATACCCAGACTCTGGCTGCCGGCATCCCCTGAACCCCGCAGGCCAGGAATAGACTGGAGGAAGCAGCCGGAGCAAAAGGCCTGAACTGAGGCGGAGCTGCCACACAAGAAAACAGTTCCAGTTCCAGCCTAGCCAAGAGCACTGCCTACTGAGCAAAGAAAAGAATACTCAACAGAGAAAAACAGTGGCATCTAGAATACACACAGTGTCACGTTCGTATGTCCATGGTACAGTTCAGAATTATTTAACATATGAAAACATTGTCCGTCTATCTATCTATCTATATATCTATCTAAACACATTCTTTAAGATACAATAAGATCAATCAAATCCAGTCCCTAAATAAACCAAATATTGTAACTAACAATCTCAGCAGAGAAATGGGAACTCTCATGAAAGAAATAAAAACAGTAAAAAAGAACAAAGGGGAAATTCTAGAACTGAAAAATACAATTTCCGAAATTAATTCTTTACTCAATGGATTTACTAGCCAAATGGACATGACAGAGTAAGTATACTTAAAGATAAACCAACAGAAGTTGTCCAACATGAGAAACACAGAGAAAAGATACATTTTGAAACGAACAAAGCCTACAATTCTTACAGATTATATTAATTAGAATACTAGCTGTAGAAATAAAATGGTGCAGAAAAAATATTAGAAGACATCATGACTGAAATTTTCCTGAATTTTAGGAAAGACAAAAATTTGCACATGCACTAATGAACACTAAGCAGAATAAACAAAAACAAACATGCTAAGGCACAGAGTAGTCAAATTGCTAAAATCCAAAGATAAAAAGCAATGAAAGTCAAGTTACATATTATGTACTGGTTAGCAATTAATCCAACTAACGACTGATATCTCCTCAGAAACTGTGCTAATTTTCTATTACTGTCATATCAAATTACCTTAATTAAATTAATTTGGAGACATAAAACAACATCCACGTATTATGTCATAGTTAAATAAACCAGAAGTCCAGGTACAAAGTGGCTCAGCTGAGCTCTCTGCTTAGGATTTTATGAGGATAAAACCACAAATAAGTACAGCTGTTTCTTTCTGGAGGTTCTAAGGGTAAATCCACTTCTGAGCTCATTCAAGTTGCTGGCAGAATCCAGTTTCATATGGTTGTGAGGTTGAGGTCATTCTCAGTTTCTAGAGGTTGGCTGCATTCCTTGACTCATGGTCCCTTCTCTCATCTTCAAAGCCAACAATGGTGGGCAGAGTCCCACTCACAGTTCACATTTCTCTAACTTTATCTTCTGCTTGCTCTCCCCTGCTGTTAGCTGGAGAAAGTTCTCTGTTTTAAGGGCATGTGTATTTAGACTGGGCCCAACTAGATAACCCAGGCTAATTTTTCTCTCTGAAGGTCCATAGCCCTAATTATATCTGAAAGTCCCTTTTGCCATTGGTCTTACTCCACATTGTGTGCTATAACAGAAGACCACAGACTGGGTAATTTACAAGAAAAGGAATGTGATTTCTTCCAGTTCTGGAGGCTGGCCAATCCAAGGTCAAGGAGCTGCACCTAGTGAAAGCCTTTTTGTTGTGTCATCCCATGGTGGATGAAATACCCGAGACTGAGTAGTTTATAAACAAAAGAGGTTGAATTGGCTCACGGTTTCACAGGCTGTACAGGAAGCATGGCTGCTTCTGCTCCACTTCTGGGGAAGTCTTGGGAGACTTACAATCATGGTGGAAGGTG